CCCGCCCCGCCCGAGCCGCCGAACTGGACGATCCGTTCCTCTTCCGCGGCCTGCCAGAGTGCGCGTTACCCCGGGCAGTGTGCGGCCGGAACGGCCGACTTACTCTTGCACCTGTTACGGTGACTCGCAGCAGCAGATGAGACTGGAAAAGGTGCTTATGGGGGAAAAGAATAAGAAACAAAAAGCCGCACTGGACGACGCGCGTCGCCGCCGACACGCAAACAAACAATTTATTGAGGATGTTTCCGCGTGGCAGCCCGGGCTGCGGCAGCAGCGGCAGCGCGCCGAAATGGCATCGCAGAGCAAATCAATCGAGCTGTGGCGCCGCTGCTGTGGCGCGGCTGTAGGGTAGTCGGGCCTGGGCGTCATGCTTGCCTTGTTGCAGAGCGACATCTTGCATAACTCCTCACGGCCGCGACGCGACGCCGGCAAGTAGGTCCGCAGTGTGATGAGACCTACGGCGGCGGCGCGCGCCCTGCGGGGGCGTGGCGTGGCGGAGCGTGGCTCAGAGTAGCGTGGCGTGGCGCGGCTGCGGCGCATGGCGGGAAGATGCTGCTGCTGCTGCTGTGACTCAAGTCAGGCGCAGAAGCCTGAATGAGACTCTGCCGTGGAGGGAATCCGGTATGCTGCCGCGTGGCTTCGTGCGAACCGACGCGCAAGCACACTCCTCACAATGCAATCAAAGGTACCTATACAATTCGGTAAATTTTTTAACACGTTCAGTGCGGCGTGACCCGCACCGCGGGTCACAATAACATGGGATTGCCTACCCCCGCCGCACTCAACGTGTTAATTAAAAAAAAAAAAGTCGAGGGAGCAAGATTTGTTGGTTATCCACAGCCCGGGATGTCCCCTGGATGGTCATATTCTCGGGGCCCGTGAGTGAAGGGTAGATCCCCCCCCCCTCCCAAAGTCTCGCCCTCTCACAAAGCATTATTCCAATTTCCCGCCCGGCGGTCCTGGCCCGGCAGCGCCGCCGCCGCCCCTATCAAAGTGCCGGGGCGCTGGAGTGGGG